AGAAGTGGGAGGGGAGGCTAAGCGCATCATTAATTAAAAATACACTCACAGGGAAAATTCTGGGGAAATGCCAGGAAATCTCAAAGACTGACTCTCTGCTAGCTTGCTTATGTTGTATTCACTGTTAATGTTTACAGGAAACCTGTGGGTGTTAGACCCCGAGTTTGGTCCAAAGGTTCAGATCCCAGGCCCTCTCCCTACCTTTGACTGCCATACTTCCTTTTGTTTTCCTTTTTTTTTTAAATTTATTCATTATATAATCCCAATTGACACCCCCTCCCTCAGCTCCTCCCAGTCCCACCCTTTCTCTTCTTCCCCCCTAGTCCACTGAAAGGGGGCGTTCTCCTCCCCTGCCACCTGCCCAGAGCTTATCAAGTCTCATCAGGACTGCCTGGATCCTCTTCCTCTGTGGCCTGGCAAGTGATCAAAGAGCAGGCAATTGAGTTCATTACAGAAGCAGCCCCTGCTCCCCTTACTTGGGAACCCACTGCAGACTGAGCTACCAATCGGCTACATCTGGGTCTAGGTCCTCTCCATGCATAGTCCTTGTTTGGCGCATCAGTCTTTGCAGGAGCCTTTGTGCTCAGAATATTTGGCTTTGTTGGTGTCCTTGTAGGGCTCACAGAGAGGACAGGAGACAGTACTTTCTTAAGGTCTTTAAACCCCTATGAAGAAGCTCAGCTTTCACAGGCTGTTAAGAGGCTCACACACCAATGCCCAGCACAGCCCAGCAGGCCATAGCACTTAGCCAAGTGGTTCCTACTTCCTCCTTCCTCCAGCTTTTCTTCTTCCCAGTTTGAAAAAGTAGGTTCAGCCAAGAAATGTGTATAGCAAAGGACACAGTCAGTTTGATCCAGGAATCACTATGAGTCAACATACCAAAAAAAAAAAAGTCAATGAAAGAAAAAAAAAATCATTGAATAGTGAGATTGTTGCAGTCTGCAAGGGGGTGAGTAGGAAAAGTACCAGTTATATTTCAAGGGTTAATATATGCTGCATGTTCTGGACATCCCACCCTCACTAAGATGTATGATCATGAGAGTGCGCATTAGCTCTTTTCGTTTTTTGTTTTGTTTTGTTTTACATGATTGTTTTCTCCCCATCCGTTGTAACTTTCAATTAACATTTCCAGAGCCCTAACTATGTTCCACACAGACTCTGGGGAACCTTTAGAGACCATGGTATTAACATGCTATTAACATTGCTATTCACTTTTAAGTTGTTAAAATGCTGTTGTTGTGAGGCTTACTACTTTATTAATGTGTACAAGTGTCTTGTCTGTATGTCTGTATGTGTACCACATGCTTATCTGCCCAAGGGGGTCAAAGGCGCTGTCAGATCCCCTGAATGGTAGGTACAGATGACTGTGAGCCACCCTGTGAGCGCTGAACTGAACCTGGACCATCTGCAAGAGCAGCAAATGCTCTCAACTGCTTACAACCTCTCCAGGCCTAAAAGGTTTAAATTTAGCCAAAAATACCTCTCTCCTGAATTTCTGAGTTGAGAGGCACTAGCTAAAGCCACTGAATCTGAGCTTTGCTGCATTGCTCCCACCTCTCTGCCTCTGTCTTTCTGAGACCTGAGAGTCTTCAAATTTTGCAGATTACATAAACCAGTAATAATACAAGCACTTCCTTGAACACTGGGGATAGGGCAGTGAGGGCAGATCATACTTTCTGCCTAGCAAATTCTCCTACAGAGGGAAAATGTTGTCACAGAAATAGAATGGAAATCTGATTCTCAGCCCACAATTTGAGATGTCATGTTAAGGGGATATGTCCCATTCTTGAGGTGTGGCTTGTGGCCAGGGTGCATTTGGATTGGTAGACTAATGCCACAGTCTTTGGGAGCTGTCTTCTCTTCAGTACCCAGAGTCATCCAGAAGTGATGGCAGGAGCTGTGCCTAGAGGACAGGAAAGTTGTCTTACTGCCCTGCTGTTGCCAGGAAAGCAGGCATTAGGACAGCTTGGTTCTTGAACCTTTCCCCTGACAAGTTACTGTTCCATGAATCCCCATGCCTCATTTATTGCTGAACCCTATCACAGTAATTTTCCCTCCATAGCAGTCATTTTAAAAAAAATCAGTTCGGTAAAGAAAAGGGAGAGTCCCAGCGCAGGTTTTTCCTTCAGCTTCTGATAGTGGTATGGTCTTCAATATCTTCCAGCAAAGCCCCAGCTCAGCCTTCATATCTAGTGGCAGTCTGCGTCACTAAAATCCACGCATCCCAACCATATATGAAGACAAAAATGTGTGTCCAAGTAATAAAAACGCACCAGAGCCATCAGGAACCTGTGTGCATGTCCCAGGAACCAGTTCACAGCCCAGGAATTCTCAGTCCAAGAGGAAAGTCCCAAAAGTTTTGCTGAGTGTCTGTTCAGCCCCACATAAGCAGGATGGAAGGTACAGTTTATCAGCAGAGAAGTAAATGAAGCAACAGGAATCCAACCAAGGCAGGTACACTTCTTTCTTTTATCATGAGGAAATTCAATCAAGATCTCTCCAATTATCTTTGAGTACCTCACTTCCCACTTTCTCCCTCACCAAACAACCAATCCCTTTAGCAACTCTGCCTATAGCAAATCAGACACAAGACAAAAACCAGGCCACTTCTGGGATGCATCTCTACCCCTCAAGCCAGCAAAGTTATTAATGTAGGACAGTTTGTCCCAGTAATTGAATAATTGATTAAGCTTTTCAAAGATGCTAGGTGAATAGCCAGCTGTAGCGTCTTCATTCCCCAGCAAAAAGCCTTGCCAGTTTCCAGCTGTCCCATGTGCAATTGGTCCTTCTTATTCTTGCACAAGCTGTTAGCCTTATCCAGTGTAGCTCTTCCTCCTTCATCATGTGGGTTTCTTATACCGGACCTGAAGGCTTCTGTTCAGGCTGATTTCCACAGGCTCTCACAGGTCCAGATCAGTCTTCTGTTCAATGCACCTAGAGCTTACCCCACTGTCTGTCACCATGCTGACTCGCTTGTCTTCTGCCTCAACACATCAGTAGCGTCTCCATAAGCTGGAGGGCAGGGTTTCAATCTTGAGGTTTTGGAGTCAGCTGACCAGAGCTGACATGTTATTCTAGTGCCCCTATGTGAGCTGGAAGACATTTGGCACGCCCCATCACCACTATGGGGATATGGAAAGCACTTGCTCTGGGGTGTTTCATGAAACTGAGGATGTGCTGCCGGCACAAATGACCAACAACTGCTCTCTTTGTACCGTTTAATCTCTTGACTCAGGGATACCGCTGTTTCCTCTTTCAGCTGGAAACATAGAAAGCATAGAAAAGAGTAATCAGTTGGTAACCTGAGAGGTGAGCAATGGGATATGGGATGTCATGACAAGACAGAACTATGGGGCAATGAGATGGTCCAATGGGTAAAGCCACTCACGTTAGGACCCTCCTGGTGAAAGGAAAAAACAAAAACAAAAAAACAAACAAACTAGTACAAGCTGTAGTCAGGGCTCCACAAATGCCCTGCGCATGTACACGCATATATAAAGTAAATAAAATGTGAATATTCGTATATAGAACTGCATTGTGAAGGACATGAGGAGCCACTGAAGGATTATGGGTACAAAAGGATCTTGATCATAATAGAATCCCCTCTAGTTAGTCCTCTAGAAAGGAGCTTGAAGATAGATGAAAGGAAGAAAGCAAAGGCATGAAGGTGTACCAAGCAGCTGCAGGAGGGCCGGTAGCACAGCGGGAACAGCTGGGCACACTGGTACACACTCTGCTGTGTTGGAGCCTGCTCCCTTGCATTCGCACAGATGTGCACACACCCTCAGTCACAAGCACATACGTGTGCACACGCAGATCTTAATTTGCAGATTAAAATGATCAGATGACCATGGCAGTAGGAAATAACCTGTTAATGGAGGCTACGTAATTACAACATCCAAATCAGAGGACTGGCTTGTAGAGGCGTGCAAGTGTGTGAAACGGTGATGCAATTGTTAGTGAGCTAAGGGCCTGCCTTGCACTGAGCCTTGTGCTTGGGCCAGTGAGTGGTAGTTCTTACATTTTCCATATGTGCTTTGAACTGACTGTGGCATTTTCTTATTTGAGCTTCACTTCAACTTTGCAAGTCATTTAGGTTTGGGGGTATTAGTGGCCCCAGTTTATAAATGGGTACACTAAACTCAGAGAGGGAAGGTGTCTTTATCAAGATCTTATCATTGACCAAGGACAGAACCACAATCCAAATGCATCTCTACCTGGTGTCAAGGCAGTTGCTTTCCCTCTATCATAAGAAATCTAAAATGAATCATGAACTAAAATTTTGATGGTGAAACAATTCTGCATTGTTCTGTGAAAACAAAAAAGAATGACCAGGCTGATGGGAAGGGATATGTAGTCATTATTTCTTTGACTAGATAATTTCTTAAGACTCAAAGAGACAAATATTATACATTTTCTTTCATATGTGAATCCTCAATTATACACAATCATTCATCGAGAGAGATGGATATAGATGTTATAGATACAGCTCTAGAGAGGTGGATTGCATGGAATTAAAAGCAGAACTATCTGCGGAAAAGAAGAGTAGATGGGAGGAAAAGGGGAGAAGAATATGAGAGGGTGAATACGGTCAGAGCTGATGATATACTTGAGTGAGTGAGAATGTCTTTACAAAGTCCTCCATGATGCACAACCAGTATGTGCCAATAAAAAGAATAGTTCCAACCTTCAAAGTAGAGTGGGAAAAACTAAGTAACTCTCACTCTTTGTTTACTACAGCAATGACAGGCTGCTGAGCTCTCCTAATACAGCAGGAAAACCCCTCAAGCTAAGATACAAAGAGAGAGGAAGGCCATTGAGGGTCTCTAGGAAAGAAGTGCAGAGATGAGGAAGAGATTCTTACCTGAGCTATCCCAATGGCGTCTCCCTATCAGCAAAGGGCCCAGGCTTAGAGAGCAGCAGAGTCTTATGGGCAGCTGTGTGGGTTTTTGAGGTAGACAGACTGTAAATAGACTGAACTGTACTTTCTTTCTCAACAGGCTATACCAGAACAAAAGTCGGAACCTTCAGCACAGCCAGTTTGTAAGTGTTCATCCTTGATGCCTTTTCTTATGGGAGATAAGGACGTTGCTGATGGTTTTAGTGTTTTAACATTTGGAGGTGGGTCTTTAATTGCCGAGTTGGTGAATCGAGGGCTGTAGAAGGACCTAAGAAAGAGCGGGGCAACTCCCTCATTGCTCAGAAGGCAAAGGAATCTTCTAAGTACATGTATGGTCCATGGCCTGAATCCAAACTCCCAGCTCAGGAATGAACTAGGCAATGTGGCCTTGAGCCTGATCATTCCAGCTGTCTACAACATTCACCTCTCACAGTGGTTACCCTTTCTGGTGAGGTGAGTGTAGATGAAATTAGTCAACCCCTATAAGGAATGAGAGTGGTTCTCAAAACAGCAAACATAAACAATAGATTTTGCTGTTTATATTCAACACCATCTTTATATATAACATATAGTTAAACATATATGTTTAACTTTAATATAAAAGTCAGCATAAAATGATAGGGTCCTTCTCAAAGACTAATAAAAAAAAAAGGCCCAGAAAGGAAAAGGATTGGTTAAGGTCATGGAGTGACAGAGTGGATTCTTTTCACTCCCCATCCCAGCTCTGTCGAGTCATCCATGCTCTTCAGTGGATATAGTAAAAGAAACATAAAGAATATGAAAGATCATCTGGCCCCCGCAGAAGAGCCTGAAGAAAAAAGCAATTATCCATGGTTTAGTAGGCCCTGACTCAGAGCCAAGAGCCATGTGGACACGACATCCAAGGTAGAGATTGCTGTGCCCATCTTAGAGACAAGAGAATCGAGTCCAGGCTAGGCAACTTGCCCAAGGTCCTTTGTACTCAGACTCTTCCTCCTGAGTCTCCCACTAGCCCAGTAATGTATCCTACAGATACCACATGCCAATTGAAAGACCCTGAGGCATGACACGGAATTGAAATGGATAGGATTTAGGTCCTCTCCCATCACAGGTGCTGTCTTCAGTCTGTCACCCATTATCTCCACTCTGTTACCCATTACTCACAGCATGTTTCTCCTTTTGTTACAGACACACCTTCCAGAGCCAAGCCAAGGGCACACCTGACAAGTAAGCCTTCCTGGGACTCCCTGAACATGGCGGGTCATAGGCCTGAGATTTCTTTTTACCATGTTTACCAAAACTCACAGTGATAGTTTCAAATTGGCAACATAATTGACAAGTCAAGGATTTTGAATAATTTCTTCCCTGTGATAGAGCCAAGGTCCCATGTCTCTTGTGTGCTCTCTCCTTTTCAGTCAGCCTTCTACCTGTCTTTCCTGCTTTTCTCTTCCGTGCACATACCCAGGCATGCAGAAGTTGCTTTCCTCCATCTGGATCTCATAACAGAGGACAGATGCCTGGACTGACTTGAAGGGGCTGAGCAAATAGCTCAGTGGATCAAATGCTTCTTGTTTTAGAACCTGAGTTTAGATCCCTAGCATCCATGCAAAACTCCAGGCATGGTGATGTGTGCCCACGATGCCGGCATGCAGGGGTGCAGAGTCAGTCAGATCCCACAAGCTCACTGGGCAGCTAGGCTAGCTGAAACAGTCAGCTCCAGGTGCAGCAAGACCTGTCTCAAAAACTAAGGTGGAAAGCGATAGAGGATGATGCTCGGTGTCAACTTCTGGTTTTCACAGGGGCACACACAGTTGAACACACACACAGAAGCACACAACACATACACTCGTGAAAAAACACTGAGAAAACTCAGACTTAGACAACAGTTTGCATGCGCAAAGTCAGATGCATAGTCTGTGGAAGAGTTCAAAGTCAAGCTTGGCTTTCCAAGCTGCAGTTCTCATGGCAGCATGTTTCCTATCCCAACTCCAACTGCTGCTGGGCTGACATAGCTTATTGTATTTGGCGTGATATGGCTTGCCTCTCTGGAGACATACTGGGGCATGGTGAAGGGACAGAGACCACTAGATACAACTGGTAAAGATATCTATATGGAAGCTCAGAGCTTTTCATGATCCACTTAATGGAGAAACTAGAAAAGTCCACACCTATTCAGGACATGTGCCAAGCTTGCAAAAGATACCCTAGTCCAGTCAGCAATGGGAAAGATGCCTTAGCTCGCAGGGGTTCTCAACCTTCCTAATGTTGTGACCCTTTAATGCAGTTCCTTATGTTGTGGTGACCTCCAACCATAGAATTGTTTTTATTGCTACTTCATAACTGTAGTTTTGCTACTGAGCGAGCTCTGTCCCTAAGATCATAGAATATATGTGTTTTCTGATGGTTGCAATCCACAGGTAGAAAAACTGCTGCATTAGAAAGTCCAGTATATAGGTTTCTGGTCACCCATTGGATGCATAAGTTGTGAAATTGTTTCCTAAAACAGAAACTATTCCCCAAGCTGTACATAATGGAGATTTCTGTGAGTTTCCAAAGCAGTTATAGAACATGAAGGTGTTTTTGCTGTCTCTAGAAGTGATACTTTAGTTGCACATTATCCTATTTGACATCGGTGCTTTGAATCAATTTTGGTTCTATTCATTTCCTTTAACTACACACATATTTCATAAAGCGTTGGATAATATGTTTATATAATGTAGATTTAGGAGTGATGGAAACATAAAAATATATAAAACATAAAACTGGCAAGGCTTGCTCTTTAATCTGTCTAAATGAAACATACTACTTTATCTGGACAGAAAAAAAATATCCCAACTGTACCAGCCTATTGTAATCCATAAAATGCCCACATTTGTTATGCCCACTTAATCTTCAGAATGAGGCTCTAAAGAACCCTATCTTTCCTTGGCTTCCAGACAAGACACTGAGGTGCATAGGAGAAAACCAACCTGCACAAATGATTAAAGAGCTTTGTGTGGTGCCAAATCAGTATTGGTACTGGACCCCAGTGGCCCAAAGCCCAGCTTGCTTTCATTCCACAAGTCTATTTGCATTGACTTATATTTGGCCCTGTCATTGTGGGAGAAGAATTGCCAAAATATTCAGACTCTCTGGTCCCAACATGTCCTCGGATAATTCATTATTGATTACTGCCTGTTTTGTGACATTGGGCCATAGCATTGTGATGTAATGAAAGGGTTGCTCGCTTGCTCTCTCTGTCTCTATTTCTCTCTGTGTCTCTCTCTTGCACTCTCTCTGTCTCTCACTCACTCACTTTCTCTCCTTTCCTCCCTCTTCTCTCCTCCCTCCTTCTTTCTTTTTGGAACAGAGCTTTTCTGAACCAAGAAAGCGAGTAAAGATTAATGTATTCCCCAATAGCCATAGATTTTGCACCTTTTTTAATCATTCCAACAAGTATTATTTATCTTTTTTTTTTTAAGGAAAGACATGCCAAATAAAAACAAATACAGATCTAGTAAGATGACTCATTATACAGAAGGAATTTTTCCAGAGGGAGGGAGGAGAAAGAGAGGAAGGTACAGTTGTAAATTCCATAATGGTGGGTAATTGTTTCCAGGCCCTCTGGCAGACAGTCCAATCTTTGGATGCTAAATTCCCTTATATAAAAATGATGTAGCATTGACAAAACCTACACATGCGTTCAGGAATGAGGACTGAGAGAGTCTGGTGCCTGCCCTTGCCCTGCATAAGCAAGCTGTTAGCAGTAAAGTCTTTTCAGGTATACAGAAAACCGAGGGGATTTCTTAACTTTCACTGTGTCCATGTCAACAGCAACTTGTAAATGTGAAAATCTTTTATAGTGATCCAAATCTGAGTGAGCATGCCCCAAAACACAAACTGAAATTATCAGGAATGCCACAGTTCTGACTGTGGAAGAGGTTGCACAACCTCTGAGGAAAGTGAATACAGGAGGCAGGGACTAGAACGATGGCTCCATCCATAAAGTGCCTGCTCTGCAAGCATGAGTATTTAAGCTTGCATCAACAGTGTCCACCCAAAAATCTAGGCACAGCCCCTCAGGCCTATATCTCTAAGACTGGGGGGGACACAGACAGGTGGACTCCTAGAACTTTCCAGCTAGCCAGTCTAGCTCAGTGAAAAATCCTGTGAGAATAACTGAGGAGAACACCCAGCTTCTGTCTCTGGCCTTCACATACACATGAGCTTGCAGGCACACATGTAGATGCGCACACACACACACACACACACACACCCAATAGGAAAATGCACAAGACTTTATCAAAAACCACAGGTTCTGACCTGTGCCAACTAAACTTCTCTACCGTATTTGCAGTTCTGAAACAAACCTCAGCGTCACCTCTGCAAAATCAGTTCACCGCTCTACAGTGGGAGCATCAACTAGGGTTGGCCTTCACCAAGAACCGGATGAACTACACCAACAAATTCTTGGTGATCCCAGAGTCAGGAGACTATTTCATTTACTCCCAGATCTCATTTCGACGGACCACATCTGAGTGTGGTAACATCAGCCAACGGAGACGACCAAACAAGCCAGAATCCATCACCGTGGTCATCACCAAGATGACAGACAGCTACCCTGAGCCTGCCCACCTCATCACAGGGACCAAGTCTGTGTGTGAAATAAGCAGCAGCTGGTTTCAGCCCCTCTACCTTGGGGCCATGTTCTCCTTGGAAGAAGGGGATAGGCTGATGGTAAATGTCAGTGATATCTCTTTGGTGGATTACACTAAAGAAGATAAAACCTTCTTTGGAGCCTTCTTGCTATAAGAGGAAAACAACCATCATTATGTGGGACTCCTCTGTCTCCTACTTTTCAATTTTCTGTGCTCATATGGAACTATAGGCAGGGGTTTAGAGGGATCAGGGATAGGAGACCTGTGCCTCCATGGTTTCATTCCCTTGGTGTAAATCACAACAATACTAACAGGAGTGGGGGACTGGCCATGCTCTTTTAGCTGATGTGACTGTGACTGGTCTATAATTCAGAAATTCATTCACTTCCCAGAAACAAATGAGGCCACTGGAAGGAGCCATGTCAACTTCTGTGCATCCTGTACTATCTGGCCTAGTCAGTAACCTTTATAAGATCAATAATATTTTCACAGGGATGCTTGACTCAATGATCAAATCTAGCATCCCACCAGGAGACTAAATCTTGGATGTGAAATGGCCAAGTACTTCCAGCACCACAGTCTCTATTAGAAATGCCTGTGTCATGGCAGATGCCACAGAGAAGTGTGATGGCACACTTGGCCCCACATCATCACTGAGCAGGCTATCTGCTAGGAGAACCTAGAAGCAGAGCTGGGTAGTGTGCCTCTCATACATTGGCTGGTAGAGCACCACTATCGAAATTTGTTGAGTCATAGTTTCTTATGAAATTTATCTCTGCTGCCTACGAAGCCAGGTTGTACACTGTCTAGCTTTTGCTAAGCCAGCTTACATCGGCCCCGTTCTGGTCTTCAGCTTCTTGAAATAGCACAGTAAGAGGACAGGAAAAGGGGAGGTCACCTCCCTTTGGTTCTTTAGAGAGGAAATCACATGTGGAAGAAGCTAGGCAGCCAGAGATCACCTGGAGGAAAGGGTGTCCCAGAAGAAAGACTTATTTTTTGCTTAGGTCTAAAATGAGCTTGGTAAAAAGGTATTCTCCTTACTGAACCTGAGAGTAATGTTTATTGGTCAATTGAGGATGCTTCGCCAATGACTCCAGTTGGACTCCAGGGTCAGAAAGGAGACTACAATGCTCTCTCTGCATCTATCTCCATTGGTGCATGAAAGCACTAAGCAACACAGAAATATGGAAAGGAACTTTCACAAAAGCAGCCAGAGAAACCTGCTCAACTTCTCTGGTAAGCCCAAGATTTGTGTCAAGGGGTTTCAAAGCTGCCCAGGAGTAATCTGGATGGCTTGCAAGCTTATCCAAGGCAGGAAGTTCCTGATGTCCAAAGATGTTTGAGGCTTCATTCCTACCATGTATTCACCCCTGTTTATTGAAGATTAGAACTCATTTTTTTCTGTTGATTTTGTTAAGTTCTTAATATATATATATATGTATTATATATGTAATATATATATATATATATATATATATATATATATATATATATATATATTACTCTCCAGGAAGGCATCATCAAACATCGCTGATGAGACTCAGATCAAATGAGCTTTTTAAACATGTGAGGAAATCAGGTGTGATGGCACACATCTGTATTCCCAGCACATGGAAGGTTGAGCTAGGGGGCTTGCCCTGAGTTTGAGCACACCCTGAGATAAATAGCAATTTTCAGGCAAGCCCTGGCTACACAACAAGTCCTTGTCTTTAAAAAAAAAAAAGGCTGCTCCTTAAAGATAATATATTCAAGGATTAGGGAGAAGGGGGTGTGTTTTGGAAAATAGTTGATTTAATGAGAAATGTGTTGCTGGTTAAATTGATCTCAAAAGGCTGCTGAACTCAAATTGATCCCGCAATCATTTACTTAGTATTTACTTGTCCTGAGGACAGAAAAATAAATTATTTTATTCTCAGATCCACTTGTTCTAATAGATTGGCATCTCCATTGTCTGTGGAGCTTTTAATCATTCTGTTTGTATTAGCTAATTAATTAGCTAACTTGAAACAGATTGATATTTTCTTATGAACACGGGTGCCATTTGATGAAAGACAGTCATTAACAAAATGATTTGTATTTCCTCGTGTGTTTTTTCAATAGCTATGCAAGGGCCGTGCCCATAAATAAATAAGTGAGAGGGAAATGTAAGGATACAATTTCCTGTGGTAAAAACCAGCACTCAAACAATATACACAAAGAGGTTTGTTTTTGTTCTTGTTGTTGTTTAATTCTCCTCAAATTTTAACAGGAACACATTTGAAAATTTTAGAACCTTATGGATGTCCTAGAGGTGCTTTGATAAGCCTAAGTTCCCAGCAAAAGCCAAAACCAGCATGCAGCATGGGTCACTTGAATTTTGACCTCTGCTGGTTTTAGATCTGTTTCTCAGAACATGATTCCTAGGTTCTAATCTCTGAGGTGGGTTTGTTTATTTACTATGGTGCAATGAGGAAAAAAAGGAAAGTGTACTTTCACCACTTCATTTCTTGGTGCATATCAGCAGGGCATGCCAGAGTGCTTGGATCCATTTCAGTGCAAGCTAAGTCACCCCTAAGGAAATTCCAAGTCTGTGCCTGTCAGTAACTCCTCTGGATTATGGAAGTCCACGAGTCCACTGCGCACAAGGCACAGTCATTGCCAGCACTCTCTTGGATGGTATTTCTCTCAAGTTCTTACTCAATCAGGTTTCCATAATTGTGACATTGGGGATTAGTTGCTAGAGCAGGTTTGTTTATGGTCTGTTCCTTTCAAAATACATGCAGATATGTTTACGGCCTCAAAATCCCCTGGTTTTTTGCCTTTTTTTTTTTTTTTTAAGGGCTTAGAGTCCTGGGAGTGTTTTGATGTTTTCAGTAATATTTTAAGCTTGCATTATTATCCTGAATCTTAGCAGTGTTATAACACATTGGCTCCTAGCCTTTGCGGAATTAGTGAGCCCATTAGCAGTGGTGACAGTATTAGATCAGAGTAGCTACATTCATGCTTTGCTTATTCTATCACAGTTAAAACTTCCTTAGTTCTGTGACACATTTGTCTCTACCTCTTCCATCTATCCATCTTAATGAGACTCAGAAGTCCAACCTTCATTTACTTCTCTACTACACAATGTGTTCATGCAATAGCCAGAACTCTACTCTTAGCAAGTGGCATTCAACTTGAGGCAACTAGAGGAGAAATTGAAGAAAGACAAGAGAAGTATCTTTGACTACCTACAGGACAATGTAGAAGGACAAGGAAAGGGCCTACACATGGTGATCAAATCTCTACCTTCTTCCCTAATCCAATTTTCTGCCTCCAAACAGATTTCTTTTCTTGTAGTCATTGCTAGTTCTCTGGAGAGAGTCAAGCAAAAAGAGAGTTTTGTAGATGCTATTGCATTATGGAGGTCAGGAGGGATTAAACAAAAAGGGTTCCTTTTCCAAATCTATGGCCATGTGGCCACTCTTTGGCGGACTTCTATTTGATCATGACAAACATGAGGGCCCTGCCAAGAGTTCATTGATTTCCAATGAATTAGAGTAAGCTGTTTCCCCATCAACTCTAGGATCTTGACCAATAGAGAAAATGTCATGGGATTTTAGAGCTGATAGGAGCTGAAATTTATCCATCCAAACTTACATCACTTCAAGAATGAGGAGAAACAGGATAGGAGATGGGACAGATGAGGCTCGGCATTGGGCAGTAGCTTGGCAGTGCTGAGACTCATCAGTCTTTCCATTTCATCTGTGAACTATTTATTGGTTTTATTTTTTGAGCACCTGTCACACCTAGAGGCTGTCACACCAAAGAGGGTCTGTGACAGGCAAGTCTTGAAATGCTGCGTGCACATAAGAGGAAGAAGATTTGTAGTAATGAGTAAACAGAATGGTGAACTTACATGATTTTAGTCTTATCGCCATTAAGACACCACCTACCCCTCTTTTGTCTCAGGGGGTATTCAGACTGAACAGATGTAGGTGTTCATTTGATTTTATTGACAAGCCCCATGTGCTTTCTTTGGTTGTATGTTTTATGTTAAAACGTCACATCACTGCGGTAAAATGCATATTGTATGTTGTCGGGTATATAATTAACTGGTATGCATCCCATGTATGAATTCTAATTTCTGTAAATAAAAAAATTATGTTAACATATATAACAGTTGTAATTTAATAAACTGACGTTGAAGGTTAAAGAATTTTGATTATGTCAATTTTTTGTCAATCAGTTCACTTACTTTTTTTCTGGATTATTATCCAAGGGTAATTTCTTGGGGTGTTTTTAAAATGTGTCTAGGAGCTGGAGAGATGGCTCATCCTTTATAGTGCTTGCAACACAAGCAAGACAATAAAGAGTTTGGATCCCCCCAAGTCTACATGAATGTTGGGTTGGAGTAGCAGCCATCTTATCTCTGGCTTCGAAAAGGGAGAGAGGGATCCCTGAAGCAAGCTAGCTGGTGAGACTAGCTGCCATCTATGAGCTCTGGGTTCAACGGAGAAATCCTGCTTCCCTGAGTAAGATGGAAAGCAATTGGGGGAGATTCCTGACATCGACCATGACCCCGCATGTACATATGTATTCATGCACCCAGGCCCACATGTGTGTCCTCACATATGAGAACATACACATATGCACGCGCAGTACACACATATACATATAAATAAGTGCATCTAGCTATCTGCTGCTCAGCGTATAATGATAGTGAGACCAAAGCAGATCGAGCCACATTAGTAAATGAGAGAGAGAGAGAGAGAGAGAGAGAGAGAGAGAGAGAGAGCAGGGTGAATCAGTTGGCTTTCTGTAGCGAAGCAGAAGACTGCAGCTGACTGGCTTGGTTGGACAGTGAATGTCCCTGGAAGAATAGGCATAGAGAGGAGCACTTGACGGAGCTGGGAGCCTGGACCTGAAGTCAGGCCTGGACCTCTCATGCAAAGAGCAACCAGGGGCTGGGGAGATGCTCAGTGGTTAAGAGTTCTCACTGGACAAGTGTAAGGTCCTGAGTTCAGATCCTCAGTACCTATGTAGAAGGCCAGGGTAGCCACAGATGCCTGGAACCTCAGTGGTAGAGAAATAGAGAGACAGAAGGATCACAGGGACCTGATGGTCACCAGCCTCTGGAGAAAGCAGCTGCAGGTCCATTGTGTATCAGGGGAAATGGTAGAGAGCGACAGAAGC